AGAATTGGCAGGAACACCAGCAGCATGGTTGCAAATGCATGCCGTGAATTCCATACCGACAACGATGCTGTCGCAAACGCAGGCAGCGGCGGCTTCCAAGCCTCCGACGAGCCCATGGCACGCAGGTTCTAGGTGTGTTCCTGAGGGGGGGGGTCCTGTGCATGACCACAGGCATAGGTGCATCGTAAATCGTAGCAAAGATTGCCCTGGGCCAGTATCAGGCCTGAGAACTTGGAGAAGAAGGCTGACCCCGCGGAAGAGGAGGCCCGCGGCACTCACAAGTAGGGCTTTGCCCAGGGCCGCGTGGTTCTTCTGAATTCCTTTCGCTTTCCATGGCTTTCCACATCTGATCGTAGGCCAAGGGACATGATGAAAGTTGATGACAGTATCGATCAGGCTGTGATTGCCACGCCCTCGGCTTCGAGCACATCGCCAGCCGAAGCATCCAGGCGTCTTCTTCAGGGACAGGAAGGGAAGGGACAGCAAGGCCCTGCATCTCCCTAGACAATCTCCTTCACAGCCAGGCCCCAGACCGTGTCGGCGGAGCACGCCGACCGAGATGCCGAGGAGGCCACACCGCATGCTTGATGAAGGCTTCAAGGCTCTATCCAAAGAAGACCTTTCAGCTTGTTTCAAATGCCATAGAAGGGAAACTCGCTGGCGTCTCTTCGCCCAACTTAGTCTAGACTCAAAGCACGTATTCGTCGCTCGAGATGCCTGGCCCTCATAGCCCCACAATCCAGCCCCTGTAGAGCGTGTAGTACAGCAAATCAACGTGTGACTCCTCCGGCACTGTGCACGAGTGTGTGAGCTCGCGGCGGCAAAGTGCACGGAGGCGCCACAGTCGCCTGCTGTAGAGCCGCCGACAGCAGCTGCGTCACAGGAGGCTGGTGAGTTGCTATAATTTTCGGCGGGACTGAGGTATATCGGATAAGAATTGGCAGGAACACCAGCAGCATTGCATGCCATGAATTCCATACCGACAACGATGCTGTCGCAAACGCAGGCAGCGGCGGCTTCCAAGCCTCCGACGAGCCCATGGCACGCAGGTTCTAGGTGTGTTCCTGAGGGGCTGGGTCCTGTGCATGACCACAGGCGTAGGTGCATCGTAAATCGTAGCAAAGATTGCCCTGGGCCAGTATCAGGCCTGAGAACTTGGAGAAGAAGGCTGACCCCGCGGAAGAGGAGGCCCACGGCACTCGGGCCGCGTGGTTCTTCTGAATTCCTTGGCTTTCCACATCTGATCGTAGGCCAAGGGACATGTTGAAAGTTGATGACAGTATCGATCAG